AGGAGTTTAATCAGCCTATAAACTGTTTGCTTAAGGAACTCTTGAGACAAGAGAAGATAATTAATATCATATCCCAAACCTATACCCATCTGTTTTAACGAAAGGTGACCTCTCTTTACAGCTTACTTCTTCAGAATTTATGCTAAAACAATTCTTCCCGTTTCTTAGGAAGTAATTTCTGTTACTTGTCACCATTAGCCACCGTCTGGATCCAATTTTTAGTAGTTATAGTATTTGTAGTTTGCTTTTGTAACACCTTCTGTGAGGAAGCTCATCAGAGCCTTGTGATTTTAGTTTGAAAAATACCACTTATCTTCCACTTTTTTCCCCATCTACCTTTCTGTGAAGGTCTGAATACTTACTGACAGTGATACGAGCCGGGTAACAATACCCGGCTTACTGTGAAGGGATTAATTTTATTTTATGCGCAGAACTTTGCGCAGAACTAATTATTTTGCTTCAATAGAGATGGGAACGGGCACTCCATTGCATCTGGATACAGAGTTGCTGCGGTTTCCTGTAAGAATCCGCAGCTTGGAGAACAGCAGTGAAGGAAGGTCACTAGTAAACTACTCAGAGCAGTAGAAACTGGAGGAGTTTTAGATTAAGGAGCGAGATTACTGGTTAAGCAAGGAAACAAGAAAAACTGTTGAAGATCTCACCACCACCACCATTTCGCTGATCGCCTCAGAGTAACAGCTAGTCCCTTGACATTTAGCTTTTTTCCAGGGTTACATTGACATTCTTTCCTGAATCAACATGAGACTGCCACGAGATCTGATTTTATTCATATACATAAGTATACCCCTTGCGATGCAGCTGATATTTGTTAAAGCCATAAGCTTGAAAAACCTCAGTCTGCATGTGCTCCAGAGAGGCCAGCAAGAGCTTGGCAAAAAAATAACGAAGCTGCTAGCTGCACTGAGCATGTTCCTTGTGCTTAGAGCTCCCAGACACCAAAAAATCTGCATCTCCTGCAGAGTGGCCCAACATACTATAATTTGGCAATGAAAGTACTAAGTATGTCTTTCTACACCATACCCTCTGATGGGTGCATCATAAGACCGTAGCAACCAGAAATGAGACAGTGAACAGGCCAGCTAGAAATTTTTTTCTGGAAAGGAGCGGTAGGAAAGGTGGGACAGGATCAAGATTGACAGGAGAGGTAAAGATAAAGTAGGCTATATGAAGGATAAACCATTACAAAAAATGTGAACTGTTGGAAAAATATCTCACAAGAAAAAAAGAGAAGGAAAAGAATCTTATAAAAAGATAAAGGTATTACAATTTTAACAGTGAAATGCACACTTCTGCAAGTCACACGTGATAACAGCTCGCATATTCTGATCAACTTTTAGGTGTTCGAATTCTTTTAACGTTTGAATTTAAAAGATACATTGCTTATACGATATTGGTACACATAAAGCTGCAGATGCAAAATCTAACTCTAAGAAGTCCTTTGCAGCCTGGCTAAGAATTTCCATTCTAGAATTCTTTCTACACTGGAGAACTGACTTTTGGTGATCCTGTCTTCAAGCTTTCCCCATAATCTTTGTTCAGAACGATCTATTTGCAAATGAAGTTGAGTTGCAATCCTTTTAATAGCTGTTACAGCCACAAGGCTTTAGGCTATAGTAGCGAAAACAGCCACTTTTGTTCGCATGATAGCAGTTCAACCCAGCTGCAGCACTGGTTCAAGTGACTTAGTTGCCAATAACCGTAACTAGGTGCTTATTAGAGCCTTCTGTTCATTAATAGCCTTTAATTGCATCATTTCAGAAGCATCCTTCACTGTTACATAACACTACCTACAACATTGGTTATAGGGGTGCTGAAATATCGCTTTTGAACAATGTCAGTACTTCATTTTGTATTGTAGCTATACAAAATGGAAAAAAAATAAGTCTTCAATAACTAGTGAAGTGATAGACAGAGCCTTAGATTTTTCATGTCCCCAAGTGGCAGAGGTTGAAGTTTCAGGCTACAGATGAAATATACATGATACATTCCTCGGCTAATTATTTGTCAGTATATTAATAAATCACACCAATCCCTGCAAGCCTATCTAAATTTAGAAGGTTCATGAGATGTAATATATAATTAATACCCTTAGATTGGATGGCTTAAAGGCAAGTGATTTCCTGATTTCATATGAAGTAGAGAGCATTTATCATTGTTGCCCAAGTAAGGAATTGCCGGCATGCCTGTTTTCTTGACATGTATATAAATGTCCCTGTCATTTATTTGGGTTCATGAGTAGAAAACAGAAAATGCATAATAGCTGGAGCTAGATTTTCAAAGGCCCATGCAGTGATGCATTTATGCATGTTTAAAGATATAAAATCTAATATGTGCACATATGGGTAATGAGCTGATGGTCTAACCATAAAAATAAACGGAATTTTTACCGTTTAGGATAGTATTGTTAGATCACACAACCACACACAAATATATATGCAAATATTTGCATGTAAAAGTCTCCAGTCATTTGTGAGTGCAGCTTCATGTTCTCCAAGCTCTCATCTTTTCTCTCAAAATGTTCCTCCATAGCCTTTTCAGAAGATGCTCCTCACATCCCCCACCCCACCCCTCTCCCCATTCTATGGATTTCCATAGGACTCTTTCCTTCATCCCACTCTCTTCTCATCTGCATTTTATTTCTGAGCAAAATCACCCACAAATACTAATTAAGTTCTACAACGATACTTGACAGTCCTCCTTTGACCTCCAAAGCCTGAATCCTCCTACCAGGATAACAAAATCATCTAACTAACAAAGCTTCCTCCAGATATCAGGCTGCCAAAACCAGAGCTTCAGATCCTCCTTACTCTCCTCCTGAGCGCTGTGGAGAGTACAACCATGCAGCCTGTAGTGAGATTAGATCTTCACTACTGACGATACTTCTCCCACCTCTATATCAAAGTTTGTGCCGTTGTTCATGACCTAGTTACACTATTAACTCTTCAAAGCTCTTCAGACTTACAACTTGGAATCTTCTGAAAACCAATAGTCAGAAGAGAGTCTATTCTCCTGCCTATGGTTGTTTGACTGACCGCTCACACGCTAAGAAGCCATGAAGAAATCCACAGCCAGCAGCTAAAGTACAGCATGACTAATTTTATCCTGCCTCTTATATCTCGTGTGACCCACACAGCTTGGAAAAGGTAGAAAATCAGCAGAAAAAGTACCAAGCAGATCAAGAATCAGAATATGAAATGAACTTATTCAACTTTTTACTATACCAAGTTCACATAATTACAGAAGAGAGAGAGCAACAGTTTATTGTTCAAGATAAAGGAAAACCTACTGGATTTTTCTAAATTTACAGTTGCTGAGATATCAAATTTTGAAATAGAATCACCAGTCAGATTACTTATTACTGTAAAGCTTTTCCAAAATCTTCCTTCTGTAATAGGACATATCTTAGCAATTGCAACTTAGGCTGCTCCTCAACTGTGTGGAGGACAGGTACACAGCCAATATTTAACTTAGACACAAGAGCAGCAGATAGCACCTAGCACCTAGCTAAAATCTTGCATTTCAGTGAGACGTGTAGCCTTAGTAGGGATCTCATCTTTGACTTGACTGGACTTCAGCAGCCTTTTCCCTGGCTTAAACATGTATAATCTTATCCAAAAAATATTTATGCATCATGCTGTTAAAAAGTAATTTTCAGCTTGTTGCAATGACCAAGTCACTTTTATAGCTGCTTTTCTTCACTGGCTCTCTCCTTCCTATCTCAGCAAATGTTTGCCAAACACTCATATTTTAGGTTTTCAGAAAAAATGCTTTCATGCTACCTCATGTCTCTATGCCTCAGTGGAGCTTTTGCTTTATGTATACAAAATAGCACAATTCTGTTTAATCAACTCCCTTCTGCCTTCAATTCCCATATTTTTCAGGACTTTGAAGGCTATATAGTAGAACTAATGGTGGCACTCCGTAGGCTTTACTACTGCTTGTTACTCAGACTAGTACTGTTTGCTGAACAAGGGGGCAAAGACCAACGTACAAAGCATTGACGTGCTCTGCCATACAAAGATGCCAACTTAAATATCTCTGCTTGGTTCCTTATCTTGATAGTATTCTAGGAGAGAAATCTTCCATCCTTCCTTTTTTCCTGAACATTTAACAAGTGTACTGCTTTTTCTTTTATGCAACTGATGCTGGGACTGCAAGAGAGGGTTTTCTGTCACTCAGTTCTGCTTTTCATTAATATTTTCAAAAGGCTCTGCCCCAAAATTGAACATTTAAACTTTCCCTTTAAAAGCTCTGTGTCCAACATTCAAATTTTACAAATAATATTTTCAACTATTACCTTTATTTGTCATTATAATACTAAGACTGCAAAGTAAAGGATTTAATCTGCAAATCTAAGATGAACTTATTTGCATGGATTAGTTGCTGCCCCTTTACTGATACACTGTATATGATCTGTCCATGTACCATATCACAAAGCAAATAAAAATTGAATGCATTGTTATTTGATATAAATGCCTATAATAATTGGCTAATAAAGAAATAAGGGATAACTTGCTAATAATTTTATTATTAGTTTTCCACTTCTGACAAAAGCCAGAAGTCTGTAATGCCATCAGGGTTTTTTTTTTTTTTTTTGTATGCAAAATCTCCTACTATAATCATAACAATTAAAGTATTCAGACAATTTTTGAAACTTTACATACTTTTTTTTCTTACTATTAGAAGATTTTAAATGAATGCCAGAACACTTGGTCCAAACTGCTCCTGAGCATGTGAGTGCTTGCAGGTTGATAAAATAGTGAAATTCTTTCTTAACTGGTTAGCACAAACAGTTATCACCTTTTTCAAAATACTGAGATTAATTTTTATCTCACTTCCGTGGTTTAACTCTATAGATTTTGCTGCAACACTACTGAAATGTTAAGAAACTAGATATTCAATAACACTTTCAGAGACATGTCTTTAGAGATATCAGCACCTACACATGGAATATTTTTATAATTAGAAAAGTAGCGTACCTGAAGGTGATGGACTGAGTTCTTTGATCTCTCCTCCTCTTTCTGGTTAGAGGGTAGGATCAGGTGCTTCAAAAGTTCCCATTTAGAGCCAGAGGGGAAAAAAGAACGATTGTTGTGTTACACAGTTGAAAAGAGGAAGATTTATTTCAAGACAGATTGAAGGCTCACATAATAAGGAAAGGGTGCAAAGAATAATATGGGAGTGAAAAATAATGTGAAAGAAAGGATAATAGAGATGAAGATATATGGTTTTGGATTTTGGTACTGAAGGAAAATATGCCAATCTTCTTAAATTATCTGTGCACGCCTTGTTGTGTATTCATTCTAGCTTACTGAACTTCTCAGGAGCATTCAGATCAACATTAAAACGCATGTATTGTCTAACAGCTCTCCTGGGCTAATCTCCCTATCCAAAACAGATTTGCAAAACATGCAAGATGCTCAGACATGGAGGAGACAGGAATGCATCATGAAAACATAATCCAGCCAGTGAACAGGTCCATAGGAAAGAATGAGAGCATCTGTCATTTAAACTATATCACCTCTGAATGACAATGTTGCCTCAAAGTAAAATTCCTTGAAGGGTAGTTTCAAAAAGCAAAAAAGGTTTGATTCAAGTCAAAAATCTTTGGAATGAAACATTCCTACAATTTTTCTCAGCATAAAAGTTGAAGGAAAGCTGTCCTATGGCAATATATTACCTTGTAAAAACACGCATTTTCTGCTAAAAATCAGTATGATGGAAAATTACAAAGCATTCAGAGAATCTTTTTGTTACTAGAGCTATGACTTTTTATTTATATTTTGTTAAAACCCAGAGTCTCATCTAAGGAGAGTGTTTCTCCTAAGACGGACCATGTCTTACACACATGCTAACACTCCAGTTGCATGGTGGCTGCACTCTGAACCAAAGTAGGGGCCAAGCCAGCATAAGGATTCTTATTCTGGAGTGTGCATGTTGATGTAAGCAAACTGGATACATTTTTTGTAAAATCTAGTTATAGCACAATAAAGGCACCAGCTGCACTTCTGAGCTGGAGAACCCTTGCTTCCATTTCTCACAGGAAGACACTGAAAAAAATATTAGTATCAAAGAATACAGAATAATTTCATTTTTCTGGGCATCAATAGTATCCTTCTGTCTGATTAATTGCAGGGAAATAAGACCTACTTATCATACAAATCCAGTAATGAAGCAGCTGTGGACAGAGTGATTATCGTAAAGAACACCGCAAATTTGTGAATGGCAGAGACAATTCTACACTCTACGCACAGAGTCAAGCTCAAACACTTAGGTAAAGATGATCCTTGCAAGAACTCATTAAAAAATACATCACATTTTGATGTTTTTTTTCTGAAGATGAAAAACATAAATCAAAATAGAAGGAGGTAGAAAGAGATTTTTAATTAAATGCCTCCTTTCATGTTCCGACTGTTTTCTGATCCTAAGACACACAGCTACTGCATTTTTTAACTTGAATAGCAATTATATGATAAACAAATCTGTCAACAGCCTTAAATACTCATCCACAGACTGGATGTGGATTACATATTCAGAAATACGTAGCATGCTTAGATGAACAAAATCATTCACTGACCGGTTCTAGCTTCCTGTATTATATAATTCAGTTTTATCCAGGCCTGAAAAAGGAAGACAATAATTAATGTTTCATAACAAGAGTCCACAAGGTATGTTTTATATTATGGTGGCAATAAAAAGAAATATTTACTTTTCTTTAAGTCACTCCATAATCTTCTCACACTGAAATCATATACTGCGTTGTACATAAAACAGCTAAGCTACATAGGGAAATGTAATACAAACACATATGAATTTAGTAGCTGTAAAATTCTTGTATTTAAGATAGGGAGTATTTTTTTAACCCAGTTTATTATTGAATGTGCGTGCTTTTTCATTTCCTTATTAGTTTTGGCCTTGTTTGATTTATAGTTTCAGATTCATAATCAATACCAAGGGCCTGTCTAGAAAGCAAATCTAATTATTGCTTTCAGAATTTTTTGGAAGAAAAGAATCTCTTTTCTGACATTTTGCTTAGTTTTGTCTTGGTTTTGTTAATCTGAAGTCAATAACCTATTTGTACTTGAAGCCAAAATAAAGATATGCTCACTCAGAGTAAGATTTTCGGGCCTCTTATGAAAAAAGTTTTTGATTATTATCTATAAAACAGTGAGAAGTAAATAGCAACCCCTCATAGCCAATGGTAACCTCTTAGCCACTCAAGCAGCTAATAAGGCCTTGTGATGAAATATATCTTCCACCATATCAATCATATCAATGCTTATAGTTCACAGGCCAGAGACCTCCTGAGAAGGCTCCACATGACGATTCCCCATCGTCTCTTTCTCAGGCCTGCTGGGATGGCTGCGGCTCACAGCATTCACTCCCCGTGACTGCTAAGGTGCTGAGGTGCTGAGCACTCTCAGTTTCCCTCTGCTAAAAATCAGACGTGTTCTGCTAGTGCACTACATGTTAGCATGCCCAAGCGAACTATGAAGAAACTAATTCTCTCTCTCCAAAGCTCTTTCAAGCTTTTCTACTGTAATGTGTCCGTTTTACACTGAAATTACTTTTCAACCGTGTCAACAGAGAAAGCAAAACTCATAGCAAAATGCTGCTTTACTTTGACGGACAACTGGACTCTTGTGAGCAGAAGGAAGTCAAAACGTTAACTATTATCAGATGGCCTCACTTCATTTCCACACACAAGGCAGTTTTCCAGATTAAAGTAATTAAAAATTACAATGACACAATTACAATTACACAATAACTGCTGCTTGACTGTTTTATTGTAATTAGACTTTTCTCTATCCAAGTTCTTGTTGTAACTGATACCTCAAAAACATTAAATGAGTTGGTCTCCAAACACCCTCAGTGATAAAGGGTACTAGTATCCTCATTTTCCTGGCACTAAGGAAGAGAGGCATCAAGTGACTTATTGCACTTCATACAAAAGACCAGTATCACAGCCAGATATGAAAGCCAGGAGTCTCGTTGCCTTTCTGTCAGTCTGAAATGAGTACTTGAAAGTTTTATGTTCCGTTAATGACAACCAACATAGCAGCTTTGTATCCTTCAGAATGATTCCAGATGAAATCATCCCACAGAAACAACCCAGTTTGCTTAATAAACAAGGAAATGCTATGCTTGCCGATATCTCCTATTTCTTTACTGCTTTAAAATCTTGTCAGAAACCCAACTCATTTTTCTCAAATAAATACATCAGGGCTAGGCGGTGAAGTCTCTCCATCTGTGAAACCGAAATAATTATTATTAGTGACATGGTCCACAAAATATTTTAATGACTGCGGATAAAGAATTTGGAATCTTCAAGTTTTTTACTTTGTTGCTAGTTCTAAACAAAGGCACTGTGCACTCCGTGGTTGCTATCCCCCAACAAGCTGCTAACAAAAACAGCACCTTAGGGCACAGCAGAGCTAGTTCCAGTCAGGAAGCAACACAGTCTGCTTAATCCAGTACTGAAGCTGAGCTTTTAGTTGGCTTGAAATACAAGCAGATAAACCTTACAATCTGTGCTCTAATCAGGTATATCTATATAAAGTGCTGTATAAGTTTGTCCTCCTAGAATGTACGATATAGACTTATTCTTTCTGAGGCTTTTTGCCCACCCTCTTAGATCTTTTTGGGGGGCTTCTAATTCTTCCTAAGCTCTGTAATCTTCCTCCCTGCTAGTTTCTAAGTTCTTCCAACAAGTAAATACTACAAATAGCAGGTTATTTCTCTCTTATCAGAACACAGAGTTTATTTTATCCATGCTTTCTCATCTAGCATTCTTTGCTTCAGGCTGTGATTTCCATGCCCTTCCTGCCAACTGCAACCTTCAAAATATGTGGCTGCTTACAAATGTCTGTGATGAGATAGGAGTCAGCTATAAAAAAAGAAGGATCATTCTCCGATGCATTCTGCAAATAAATCCAATCTATAGAAGCCAAAATTACACAGACAAGTATGTCGTGGGGCATAAATTTGCACCCACACAATAAAAGTTAAGGTTGAGCACCCTTTAAAATGTATTCAGAATAAATCTAGGAGCTGGAAAATAATAATGTGTCATTAGAAACAAAGAATCTAAAATTTTCCAAAATATATACTGTCATCAGGGGCATTCAGCACTGTCAATTTAAGCCATTTAAAACCACGTCTTTATACAGGCCTCCCTTTTACCATCCCCTGTGCCTGCACAAATCCCTCATATAGGCAGGTATTGCAAACTGCACTATCATTCTGGCAAATGATAAATGACATTAATGCTAAGCACACCCAGGTAGTTTGTGTGCATAAATCCTAGAAATAGGTTTTTTTCCCTCTAACAGATTACAAAAGTAGTATGACCAAATGTTTACACATAGAGAATTACAGATACTGATCACCTTTTAAAATGGAATTTTAAAAGCGATGCTAACTGGTAGAGAGTAAATCTGAAAGAAAATTCTTAAGGTCAACTACTCTACTTTGTCTACAGTTTCATCTACTGGCATAAATTACACTGTTTACATTAATATACCAGATCACCCCTTTGCTTGGTGTTAATATCTGTGTCTGCTTTTTGTATTTACAAAAATGATAGATAGTCATTTTTAATATACATCTTATTAGCTGTTGGCAGGATATGAACATACATGCAGACTCTGCTACCTGAACATGCAGGCACTGAATTCTCTCTATGTTCGGATTAAAAAGTCTTGTACTTTTACATTACAAACACATGATTTGAATAATAAATTTCAATCATAGGCATATCTTGAACAACATGTTTTCTACGCATTTAGGTGAGCTATTATTTCTCCTAATTCAATTTAATGTAATGATACTTTAATCTAAACTGAATATTATAAAAATACCTTTTTAAATGGATACCCAGTACTAACTGAAACTGCAAACACTCAATCTAAAAAAGAGAATTTTGAACTGATTGTCTACCAATTACAGAATACACATGGATAATTCACTCCCATCCATAATTCACAGTTCGAAGAGATCTCAGTTGTACTAAGAGAACCACATGCTCTGCTTTTATTTAGCCTTTGATACAAAATACCTAATTTCTTGCATAATCAGTCAGGACCTTTCCAGAAATCGGATCCTCCTTCCTCTTCCACCTTTATGTGACATCATTTCTGCATGGCAAAAACTATTGTTCAGATCACTATTTTGTTGGGTAGCGTTTCTGTCTTGCTCCTGTCACATTAGGAAGCTAAGCTTACAGGATTTTTATTGTTGTTAAAAACACATTTCATGATCTTAACACTGCTAATCCACATGTACAAGAGTAGATGGATATAAAAGTATTCATCTAAGGAGTTCCCTAGCTTTCAATAAGATTAGGTCCACTGATTTTATGGATATCAAAGGAGATTACAAGATCCACTGAGGTAAGCAGACACTTTAAAGTCCTTCACGTGGAAGGAGAATGCCAGGTTCTGAGACAGACAGACTGTCAATGCTCATATCAGGCAAGTCAGAGCCAACAAACCAGAAAACAGACGGCTAGAATTTCCTTTTCATGCTTTAAGTCTTGATGCAATAAAACCACAGATATCCCATGGAAACGTGACAAGAATCTCTTGTACAAATTTAAGTACACATTAAACACACTTGGTCTGGAGAATGCAACTATATCATCCTTGCCCATTTATCTGCATTTTTTCATTGCAATAGATACGTGTGGAGTTACTATATGGGCCTTTACTTCATATTCTTCTTTCTCGTAGCATCTAGTCTTTATCTCAGAACTTCTTTTGGACAATTATCTTTTCTATTAAAGGCTATATTGTGGCTTCCTTGACCTTACTTACTGTTATTTTATTCTTACTAGAAACTCTCTAGTTGATACAGCTGTAAAATTATGCTCTAGGAATATTCTCCATAAGCCTCAAATTTATAACAAATTGTCAGTGCAGGCAATGGAATCTTCTGTGCTTTTCAGCTACCGATGTTAAAAATGTGCATTTACTTCCATAATGTTCTAAAGGGGCTTTTACTTCCAGAAAGTAACACCATATTAAGGGTTGGTCTGATGCATGAAATCTTTAGCCAGCTTTCAAAAAAAAAGAGAGAGAGAATGGAGAGATGCCAGTCAAGGAGTGGATAAAAATGTATCTCACGAGCTGAAGGCAACTGCACTAATGATGGATCACCAAGGTTTGATCTTTGATGCTTGCCATTGATTAACACCAGTTGCAGATGACAGGTATTGTGACAACGATGCTAATAAGCTATTGTAAATGCTTTCCCTAACTGCATTGGTGCAACCACCTGCTTTCATGCTTCCTTTTAATTCCTTATATTGTAACCCTTTCATCATGTTCTCTAGATAAGAAGCTTCATGTAGTACCTCACAATGTTAAGGAGAGGGCTACCAAGATATTTGGGGGCTGCAGCCCTTTGAGGAGAGGCTGAGGGACGGGGCATGTTCAGTCTGAAGCACAGATGGCTTCGGTGGCACCTAACAGCAGCCCCCCAGTGCCTGGTGGAGGCTTAAGGAGAAGACAGAGCCAGGCTCTGCACAGCGGTGTATGGCGGGAGGAGAAGCGACAATGAGCATAAGCAGGAACAAGAGAGGTTTCAACTGGGTATAGGGAAAAAACTTTTTCACCCTGAG